ACATAGAGACAGAAAGCGAGAAATCACCCCCCAGGGGGGATGGTCACGCCGCAATCCCTTCTCCTCCATTCTCCTCTTGGGATCTTGGGCACACACGCACACGCGCCCGGCGTGAGTTTTAAGCCACCGGGTCCGGGACGCGAACCGTGGTTGAGTACATGGGAGTCCAGCAACATATCCATTACGCTAACTGCTGGTTCCCCTAATTCAACTAAATTTATACTCACTTCAATGTTGGTCTTGGGATGGTCTTGGCCCTTGACTTGGACTCCATGAAAGGTCTTGCATGAGTCCACCTCATTCCCAGCTATTTCCTAATTATACATTCTACTTTCCTTCATCAACCTATCAAACCTACCCTCTAAAGATATGCAGTCTGAGGTTATGGGTGATTTATAGGTCCCTTGTATAAGCAAACCGAGATGGATATCTCAATAAATCAGAACATTAAACACCTGCTCAGAGACGCAAACACTCAACTCATGTTCAGCTCAAAGAATTCCCAGAACATTTTCCACATGGGGAACACTTTCACCTTGACTTTACCAGAAAATACTTGGGAGTCTTAAAGGCAAATCTGGCAAAGTATGGAGAGATGAAGATTTACGGAAGTAAAATGAAAGTATACATTTGATTAAAAGACAACATATTAAAAAATTGTATGGTCCCTATAATGCCTTATATACCCTACATCCTCAAAAATATTTGTTGAATAAATTGTATTGACTATACCGCACATCTTCATTTATTACAGAAAGAACCGAGATACAAGAGTTAGCTCTTAGAATAATATTACATAAACAATATACCATCTTCATTTTAACATTATCTAAGATATTTCTAGGTTGAAACTAACTGAATAATTTAGACTTTAAATGAAGTCTATGGAATAGAATGGGAAGTGTTAGAAGATAACTGAAATATTTTGTTAAGGCTGTAGTTTTCCAATTTCTTTTCATAAGTAGATTGGATTTTGTGAGCTACTGCCTACACAAACCAGAAAGCAAAGCATTTTAGTTAAAGAAAATTCTGTTGACTAGCATTGGAATTACAAGTTTTCTTCCTTTTTGACAGTTTATTTTTGAAAGATTTTTCTTGCAAAATATATAATATGCAGCTGCTAGTTGAATTAAATGATCTTTTACCTTAGAAGAAATAAAAGAAAGGCTAAATTTGGCTATTTTTTTCATCTCAAAAAACCTATTTGTGAATCAAATATGTGCTAAAAAGCATCAGCAAGATCTATTGGGTCGTCGGAAAAGTCCTGATGTATTTTTCTATGTTTTCCTATGCAAAAATGTGTCACGACTTTTCTGACAACCCGATAATACCAGCAGCAGCTTCTCAATAATAAAGGAGGTAATGGATAAATGAGCTCTGCTTTATTCACACTCCATATATTTTGAACACATCACATACACTGCTTTATTTTGATATGGCTTCTCTGTAGCTTTTGCACCAACTTTAACCTTTCTAAGGCTCGTCAACCATACTAAAAATGGAAGAGAGAGAGAAAGGGTCATAGGTTTGTCCTATTTACTAAGCAAAGCGGAAATAGAAACAAATAGAAAATTAAATGTGGAATCACCAGAAAACTAACTATAATTACAGTGGAGTAATACATAATACGAAGATTCAGAGGTTAATAATGAAGGAGATCATTTTTTTGATGTTCCCTAACAATACCACATCTATTATCATTCCATGGTTGGAATTTTCATATTCACAATAGCAAGATCATGTTTCTAATGTGCAATAACTGAATGGCAAAACCAATTTTGGTTCATTTCATGCATAGTAACTAAAAAGGTCCCGACGATCCTGGTGGGTTCTCAATCCGTTTCTCTGTTTCCAAGTCAGATAACACTGGAAAGGGCAGGCTAGAGAGAATGGATTCTATTATTCCAAGTCCCATCTCAAAGGCCCCTTGAAAACTATTTTAGGTACTGTCCTCATTATAATCTATGTTTCCATGCTCTGTACTTAACACTCCTTCAAACACGCTTGCCTCAGAACTGATCAACTCACACATCATTCTCCAAGAAACCTCTTCTGGTACTATCCTGTCCCGACTACCTGGACGCGAACTCCCCCCCGACTCCCATAGCCTCTGTCCACACTGCTCTTTGGAGTAGTATGTCACATGTCCCTTTTGGCCAGGCCGAGGTTCAGGAATTTTTCTGAGAACTCAGGACTGAGCACACAACTGGCTGTGGTTTATCACAGTGAAGGATGCAAAGCAAATCGACACGGGAAATAAGGCACCAGGCAAAGTCCAGAGGAGACCTGGAACAAGCTGCTGGGCCCTGTCCCGTGGAGAGGCCCAGGGTGTGCCCATTCCTGCACAGGGAGCTGTGGCTACAGGGATGCATTCCAACCGGGAAACACGTTAGAGACTCGGTGTCCACGGTGCCCACTGGGGCTGTCACGTGGCACCCACTGGCCTAGCAGGTGGCAGAACCCCTAGAGAGAAAGCAGGGGTCTGGGATAAGCCATAAGCATTTGCAGTTCAGGCACAGAGATCACTCAGAAGGCGGTGCCAGATGCCAGCCAAGGGCCAGCTTGCCAACAGGCCTGTGTAGGGAGGAGTCTTGGCCCTCAGGTTAACCGTTTGTGCACAGGTAGTTATACAGTTCTAATTTATATTTTATACCCCTTCTCCCCCCCACCCCCCATACACACACCAGGTACAGTTTTGAGATACAATTCTTCAAGGGTCTCTTGCCTCTGTACACATCTAGTAAACAGATGCTAGACTGATTTTTCTCCAGACTATCTTTCAAAGGATGTTTGTATAAGGGATGGCATTGCAAGATAGGGACGAGGTCTCCCTAGACAGGAATGGGCAGGCATGCTTGTTGTCTATGACAATATTAGGGCTTTACAAACGCAGGCTTCCAACCCCATAACTATCCAGGGTGTGTGTGCAGATGTCACCCAGCCATTTGGTGGTGGTCTATAGGGACAGGGCTCAGAAAACCAGCATGGGAAATGGCTATTTTTCTAAACCAAACTGAACATAACAAAAATCTCTAAGTTGGAAGATGCTCTTGTTTCTGTAATGCCTGAAGTTTATTGCTAGTTTGGTGGTCCTCTTCAGGGAAAACAGTATAAAATAACTAACACACAGTGACGTCCAGGACTGTGAAGGGTCCCGGCAAATACGCCTGAAGCAGAAGGCCCATTTGTGATGACTCCATCTTGGTCCAATTTATAGTTTTAAAAGTCATAATTTTCCATCTTGACAAATGGTTCAAAAGTGCCTTCTGCTGCCCAAACACCATGCCTATATATCACATAGTGCCTTGTTTTAGAGAATAGCTCTTACATTTTATTTCCTATGGAAAATAAAGATCTAGACTATCTTTCCTAAGTCATAATCTTTTCAACAGTCTGGTGTCTTGTAGGATTTATGGACAGCCTAGGGAGTATTTCCTTTTCTCATCCACTGACTCTATAACCTAAATATGACCAAACGAATGTCTTTATTAAATTGATTTCTAAAGCCTACCTTGGTGACAAAAATAGTTAAATTCCAGCAGAGTTGAGCTCGAACTCCTGAAAAATTAAATCCATGGGAATCGTACCATGAATGTTGATATAGTTGCAACTTGAAATGTGGCAGATCTGTGGTGTATGAAATGAGAGGAAAAACACACTAGACATTACACTCTCATGGGAGCAAACTGCCTCCTGCACACAGCACTGCAGAGAAAACATTACTTATTTTCTTGTGTCACAGCTTGTACTTTTATCACTGCAAAAGCCAGAAATAGTTAAAACCACGAATAAGCCACGTTTGTATACATGTCACAGGGAGTAATTATAGCTTAAACAGCATATTTTACTCGAACTTGTGAAATGTCGAAATCAATAAAGAAAGTGAATATATTTCACCTACTTTTGAAATGTTACTTGATCGACTTGCAGATCGCCCTGGGGATTTGTCATTCTGGAAAAAAAAAATAGACACATTGATTAAAAGGAAGCATGGGGATTAGCTGGTGGCACACGGTGACATGGTATTCTGTGAAACTGACTCACAAGGGAGGGGTCAGGGTTCACATCTGGAGTCCTCCTTGAATACACTGGGTATAAACATGCCCTGAGTCTGGCGCTGCTTAAGGCTGGAAGTGGGTCATGGTGTCCAGACCCCAGTGGGGGTGCTGTCTCTTTCTCTTGCTCATGGAGGACGTAAATAATACGACTTTTTATCAAAGGAAGTATATAATCCTTTTTACTACTGAGAAAAAGCACACATGGGAGTACTCTGTCTGTCGGTTCCACACATGGACGTACTAATTGCGTCACAGAATGGCTTTCTTTTACAGAACTGTCTTTATCTAATACATATCAATCTACTTTTGAAAATGTTTCAGTTAACATCTGAGAACATATCAGGCCATGAGTATTTCCAGAAAATAATTATTTCTCCAGAAAAAATATTGTGCAATTTCTTTGAAAATACAATTAGGTCATGAGAGTATAATTCCGTATTTCTCTTGCTTTTGTAGCCAGGAAATTCTGAGTAAATCCTGGTTGTCAGTGTCAGTAAGTAGTCCTGACGGATCCATGCTACATGCATTTAACCTGTGTTATTCTCAGATGTATTTTACTGGGCTTGCCTTTTTTTTTTTTTCCCCATCAATTGTCAAAGGGCGTGTGTGCTTACCAGAAAGTGAAAGAGAAACATGGAAAAAGTACTCCCCAAACTGTGCATAGCCACGCCACAACTCTCTCTGCTCTGTTTCTCCATCCCGATGGACTCTGGGCACACACGCACATGTGCCTGGCATATTTTTAAGCCATGAGGCTGAGATTTGAACGGCGGTGGTATTTGGTTCCCTCAGCCATGAGGCTACAGGGCTAGCCCTTTACTGATCTTTTCTGTTATTTTACATGCTTTTAATACTTAAAACATTGGGATCGGAAGATGGCATGATGGTGAAGGAGCTAGACTTCCATGTAGCTGACCAAGGTTTGAGTCCTGCTCCTTGTGCTTAAAAATCATACTGCTCTAATAGCCAGGCTACTCATGCTTGTAAATTCACTTTAGAAGCTGCAATAATAGACAGTCGTCCAATGTATAAAAATAAATAAGTAAATAAACTATAAAAAAATTCACACTGGGCATTTGTACCCCAAATCCTGAAAGGAGAATGGGGAAAAGTCTGTGGCATGGCCGTCCACCTGGGCGGGGGGGATTTCTCACTTTCCCTCTTTCTGAGACAGCTCCAGAAAGCCCATGTGCCCTACAGAAAAAAAAAAAAATCCCTTATAACATTTCCTTGAAAAAATTTAAAGGATTCTATATATTTGAACATTAAAACTTGAAAAATGTATACCCAGTCCTCTTGCCTCTAAGAGGACTTCCGAGTTAGCTGAAGAGAAGTGTGAGAGAGCATCTGGGCAGGTGCGTGTCTGGAGATCGCGTAGGTTTCTGCAGAAAGGCGCCTTACTCAGTGCAGCCCTCTCCGTGGAAGCCCAGAGACACCTGCTCCTGGCACTCACAGAGTGCAGGGCAGGCCCTGGGCTCATGACTGAGCTAGCAGGGTGCTCTCTGCTCTGCCACTCATCTGTTCAGAGATAAGCGACAGGAAATCCAGTCTATGGGCAAGTTGCAATTTACATGGAAAAGCAGGTCATGGGGTACAGGAAATGTTGGAAAAACTGGCTCTGGATTCCAAGAGTTTGTGAAGTGTCCCTGAAATACAGGGACAATGTAAAACTTTTCTGGATTCAGCCCTAAAGGGAACCCAAGTAGAAAATGACAGTCCTCCTTGACAGAGGTCGTTTTTGGAGAACTAAGTTGTCGTAACAACCTGTGGGTCTGAAATGGTCCCCGGATGACTCCTTGAGACAGTTCCAGAAGGACAGCGCTAACAGGGTATGGCAGATGTGTTACCGAGGAGGACAGGAGCTGCCTTCCCGCACACCGTCACTGTCAGGCACAGGCCAGACGGTCCAGCTGAGCAGCCTCCTCCCTTCCCATGCAACATCTATCTATGAACACCGGTGTCGCTGTGGAGCATGTCCTTACAGACGGAGAGGAGTCACAACCACAGGGTGAGTTACACCTAAGAGTGTGATGCTGGAGATTAATGTGTGTGCTACCCGCAGACGCTTTCCCTGATTAGCTTCCTCGGGTGATGGAGAGAGGCACTTTTCTACTGACATCTCAACTCTTCTTCTAGAAACTGGAAAACAAAACCCATCCATCTTTCCTTCTCGGGGAAATTCAGAATTGTGACACATAATTGTGTAAACTAGAGGTAAAAACGCCTCAAATACGTAGTGGTCATGTGGTGGTCATTTTGTTATGTTTTCTATATTTACATGGCATTTGAGGACATGGTTAATCAACTAGGATGGAAAGGTGCTGCAGCAAGAACCAAGAAGCAAAATGGGAAATTTAATGTGGCATTGGATGACTTAATTTTTCAAACTAAATGGGACTTCGTGGTGTTCTGAGCTGTGATTTCCTGCGCAGCAGTGTTGAGTTCGGCACAGGGCTGTAACAAGTAGTTCCCATGCTCTTCACTTGCACTGCCCAGTCTCATGGGGAGGAAGCGTGTGCTTGGTTACTTACAAAGATCTTTAACTGGAAATCCATTGGTTCTGTTTTTCTTATAATACAAGATCAGATACAGAAAGAAAAAAAATGGAGTAAATGGAGACAGATGCAGGCAAAGGTACCGCCATGGCTGAGTTCCCCATGGCATTGGAAAAGGCGAGTACATCAGATAATTAGCCCTCGGGAGCAGGGAGCGTGCACTGGCGCAGTGCCTGCAGTGAGGTGTGGTGGGAGGCCGGCTCTTAATTAGGCCTGCGGTGATGTTCTATTGAATAGCTCTGGCAGAAGGACAGTGTTTGACATTTCTGGACTTTCATTTCCTCACTGTAAAATGAGGGAGCTAATACCTTGGGGATTGCTGAAAGGATCAATGAGTTATAAATAAAAACATTTTATAAATTGCAAGGTTGTAATACTTCTTTTATTAGTCACAGATAGAGAAAACACACAAAAAGATCCCACAAAAATTATGACTATCACAAGTTACTAGACCTAATTTTCACAAAAACATCTTCATTTTTATGTCTTACAATTCTGCTTCTACTGTGGATTAAATTCGGGCATATAAAATTTAAGAGTGAAAAATTAAATTTTTCTCTGTGCAAGGGATTAGGGAAGCTGGTATGTCTGGGTTTTGAAGCAAAGCACTAGAAGTGCTTTCTTTGTTGGAGAACTTCCAAAGCAATCTGTCTAATTTGTTATTAATTAGTTGGGTGGCTTTTCCCATTACGATTGCAAAGACATATTCTTCTTTGCAGATTAGTCAATACAGTTGTCAAACCTCACTAAGATCAGTTTAAATACTTTACCTTAGATTAAATATAAGCTATCTCAGAATCTACCATAATTTACTGGGGTCCAAATTATAGCCTTGTAGGTCAACAAAAGTTGGAGCCAACAAGAGTTTGTGACAAGTCTGCATGAACAGTACGAGGGCATCAGGCAGAAACAGTCCATCCTAGCATATTGTTCACAGAATGCAGAGACTTCCAGCTTTATAAGTGCACTTGAATATTTTCAAGACGTTTCCAATTTTTAAGGAAAGTGATATAGCTCATTTAAAACAAAATAGGCTGTGTTGAAGGATAGGTCACATGGCAGGATGTGAAATGTATCACATACGAGTTCTCCGTAGACTACACTGTTGGTCAGAAGGGGGCAGTAAGGAAGACTGAAGGAGGTTTTGCAAGTCAGCTGAAGAAAGCTAATATTCCTGTGCCAAGAATCCAGATGAAGACTTTCTCAGAGACCATCAAGATGATGGTATTCTGTAGGGTATTTTTTTTTTCTAGGTTAAAAGTCAAGAGTATTTGAAAAGAGAAGATATAATTTGGACAATCATCTGAAGAATTGTAAGTAAACAGTACAACTATTTTTGCTATGGCAATTAAAACTTGGAAGAAGAAAGATCTGAGGTCGGCAGGTGATATGTTAAGGTGCCGGACTTCCACATGTCCAACCACGGTTCAAGTCCCAGACCTGGTGGCTTGCTTTCTCACTTTTTCTCTCTCTCTCTGTCTCTCTCTGGTCAAATGAAAAAATTGTAATGATAAATTTAAAAAATAAACAATTATTAAAAAAAGATCTTTAAAATCATTGTGGCTTATGAGCAAAAAATAAACAAGAACATAGAGAAATTGAGTAATGCAATAAAAATGTGATTAATACATATATGAAAAGAATTTTCCATCCTTAAATACAAAAACTTAATGTCTATGAAACATTTAAAAATTCTTTGGTATAAAATAACAACTTAGAGGATTTCAAGTAGAGATTTTAAAGAGTTCTTTTTCTAACATTTAGCCAATAAAATTAGAAATATAAGTTTGAAAGGTGACTGATAAATCTTCATTACCTGAAAATGAATCAACACTATTTTAGATAGTGCCTGGTCTAAAGGAATAAAAAAAAATCCCTGAAAAATAGCCAGAAATTCCAGAAAATATAACGCTATACTTACAGAACACAGCAAAAGCTATATCTGGCTAAAAATTTGTAACTGTGTTTTTTATTATGAAAAAATAACAGAATATTATAAAAATAAAATAAAAATTAAAACGAATTAAATAAATTCATGTGAGAAGGATAATGTTTCCTTGAAGTAAGTACTTTGACAATAATTGCAAAGCAAATAAACTTTCCATAAGACATTTCCCCCTCATAATTACTTCTAACTTCTTTTTTATTATTTTAAATATTTTAAAAACTTGCATTTAATCATTGTACATCCTTACAGTGTACAACATGTTTTGTTCCCAGAATAAATAAAGTACTAATTAGTCAGGTCATGCTTATTACCATCACATTGTCATCAGCAGATAACTTTATATTTTGTGTTTATTAAATGTATTGTTTATTTCTGTAAGACTTTTTAAGGA